CACTGTCTGACGCGTCTGCCTCCGCGACCCGAAAGGAGAAGCGGCGATGGAAGATGAAGATGAAGAAGAGTGCGAGTCAACGGAGCGTGATTACAACAGAGGCTATACCCAATGACCGTTATCACGGTATCACGTACGTGGTAGTTTGTACTGATGTCACACGTTCACCTGAACATTTACATTTCTGTGGAGTTATCCTACACCTTGTTTATCTTCAGGGTGGCTAAACATTCCGCCAAATAGAGCTACAGGTGTTATGGCCGTTCTAAATACCATTCCCCTTTGTTTGATGAGTATATTTTATTATCACTGTGCACGTTACTCACCCCTTCATTTACGTAACGCATTTTTAAACCAATTTCTAAATTTCTCACTGTCGTTTCGTATGACGGAACCAAGATATCTGAATTCTAGGATATCAGATAGCAGGCCATCTAGACTGATTCGCTGACGCTGCCGTTGTTCTCCCTAATAAAACTGCCCATCGTTTACTGAGGCCGGCTATTACCCAGTCGAAGCTCGTTCTCCCAAGGACTGATGATCATACATCAGCCTTTGATTGAATTCCCTCTACTACCGTATTCAGCACTACATCATATGCAGAGAGTATGCAATGTAGGACTGTTTTCAACACAGCTTTAGCTCGTTTTCATAAACTAAGAAAGTTCAGTATTCTTTACTACTTCTTTGCTCTCAAGTTCTTGACGATGGCTTGAACCGGTATGACACTGATATGCATGCTTATACTGAGGGGCAATGATTCTGATACAAGAAATTTTAAACAAATAACCTCACGTCATTCCACGTGCAAAACGATTCAAAAAAATCTGACCAATACATACCACGTTTTTTATCACCCAGTCCCGTTGATAGAAATCATCAGGGGGATAAAACAGTTCCGGAACGTCGTATGGAAACATTTTAAAATACTTCATAATGCCTAGTTTGTGGGTGTACCTAAAGCAGACCGTATTTTAATATCAAAGTATAAAGCAAATGAATCATATACTACGCACAAGTTTAACAAGTACATATTCTGATTTTGAGTATAATATTTCTACAGCTAAAGCCAATGCTATTAATCTGCTATTTCAGATCTTTCTTTGAAATAACGGCATTTCACAACATATCATGTTTTCCGAGATATAACACGACATGACTGCCATTCTTTTACAGTCATGATACATCAAGGTATATTACAGAAATTGGTAGAAATAGCTACTCCAAACAGGGTCGTATATACCGAACTTCAAGAGATAACGTACTAATTCTGTCACATGCTATCTGAAGTATTGTTCTGCTTCCGCGAACAAACAGTTTCCACTTAATAATTCCTCATGCAAATCACCAAGACCACATATGTAAAACTGAAAATCTGTAAACCATAAATTGCGTACTTGTGACGTAGATGGCACCAGGTATCTTCATCAGCAACGTTCGACCAATTTTCAAACTTTGAATGCTTGTGCCACTCATATGTGTCTAGATCGAGGTGTTCGATGTCTTGAACGATCTAAAGCAAAGCAAGAGAAAATAAATCTGCGATGGACGAAGACAAAGACGATGAGGGAAAAATCACTCAAGCAAACAAATTACCGAATCGACGCTGCCAGGAACTGTCCAATCGTAAATGAGGATTTCTGATTCGTAACTGAAACACAAACATAGCATCATAATGATCTATTACGGGTTCAGCTGTACATACTCTACTTCTTTCAAATAATCTCGATATTTGGACTCGATCGTTCCAAGGTACGTCATGTCAATCACTTTACCATTATTTTCCCATGGCTAAAATTGCAACCAGAGATCTGAACACACGGATTAAGAAAAAACACGGATATGACTACAGTTTCAAATAATTGTATTATATTATTGTTTAATATCAAAGGAAGAAATTGTCAAATGAATCAATTTCGTTTGCCGCTCATCCTTTCTGGTCAAAGAGGCAGAGACGTTAGGCAACACTAGAAGACTGTGCTAGTGTTTCAGCTATAAAACAAGATGAACCCGAGTTTGTATTAGAACCCTTCCATATACCTATTCCTCGCCATCCCCCCCCCACGGTCTTCAGCCGCTTAGCGGGGAAAGCAGTAGTCGATCGCCATCATTTCTGCAGGCATTTGCAAAATGTTTCAAATCCATCGCAGCTGTACCTTGAAAAATTGGAGAAACATCAACAGTACACCAAGGGCTCTCGTGGATTTCTGCACTCCGGACCATGTCGAGACGCGTAAGACCAGCGACTTGTTTCAGTAAGCCCATTTCAAGCCCAAACCTGTACTCGGGATCGAAGTTTCTCAGTCATTGTCCACGGCTCATGATCGTAGGTAAGTATGGGGAAGAAAACCGACTTGAACACAGAGACCTCAGTCTTTACACTGAACCTTGCCGTAGCC